CCGCCTCCGCCACGGCGGAGCGCGCGGCGGCTGCCGTCCATACTGCCCCGTACCAATCGCTGCCATAAGGCATGTACTTCAGCGGCTTTTGGCTCAGAACAGCAGGAAATGAGAATCGGCTATGAGACCTGAGAGTTCTCCCCAGAGCAGCTCTCCAGCGCAGATTAGAAAACATACCCTAAAGATCTGGCTACACTTGCACTTTTAAAACTGCTGAATTCGTCTGCGGTAATCTAGGCACTCCAAAAACATTTGCAGTTTATTCTCCAACTCATTTCATGGAAATCGTATTTCAAAGGCCTGTGATACCAACTTCACTTTAAAGTGACGGTTCTTCTCTCTGGCTTTAGTAATTTACCTTGGCTACCAGCAAGTTGCTAGGTAATAGGGTCAAGTCAGTGATATCTCCATTCCTCTGCAGAATGCTGTCACTGACGGGAAGATGTGTGCCAAGGGGCTGGCATCTAGCCAGGATGTGCCTGGGTGCACCTGCGATAGCAGCAGGGTCTGCTTGCACAAGAATTCAGGTCTGTGGTGTTAAAATGTGCTGAGTTTATTCTGAAGTAGGGTAAAAAGAATGGAATTACAGAATGGTTTCCCCCCCCTCCCCCCAATTTCCTCTCAGTCTCTATACTTGCAATATGGGTTTTATGCAACAGGCCTTATTGATAACTTCATTTTATTTTGGTAGTAATTAAGTGGGACAAAAACTTTCATTTACCTAGCACAGCTGAGTCAAGAAGAGTTTATCCTTTAGGCTGAGGAGGGTGACCTTCTCACTTCCTTCACTTCAGTACCAGGCAAACAGCTTCTAGTCTGCAGGCTTCCATTTCAGTATTTTCATATCATAAATGTAAAAAGGCCAAATCAGTTGAATAACTGAACATCAGAGCTGCAAATACGAATTTATTGGTTAATCAGTGAAGTAACTGTGCAAATAAATCAAAGTAATAACAAACCCACAAGCTGATTTGAAAGACATTTTAGTTAAATAGTTTAGTTAAATGAGGAGCTACTCTAGTGCTCCTACATGTTGAAAAGGAGTATTTTGTACAGTACAGCACATAAAGCACAGGATAATACAGTACATATAGTAACAATCTCTAGCCACGTAGGAACTTACTGATTGTCACTTTGATATAGGGCATGGACCCTGGAATTTCCCAATAAGAGTTTCCACAGGAGAGAGAAAATTCCATTCCTTCAGCTCTGAAACAGATTTGTCAGTACTATTTGATGAACATTATTGCAATGAGTATTAGCTGGATAGATTGGGTAATGTGTTTTGTTTCAACATTGTTTCTGAAATGCCAGTAGCTGCTGTGAAAGTTAATGTTATAATTTGTTTTATGAAGCAGAGTATAAAATTTACAATAAAAATGTAACATTAAACTACCATATACACATATGACTTATACTGGAAGATTCAGCTGACTGTAATGTAGATGGCGCTCATGAACCAGAACGTGGTTTTATTAAGCAAAAATGTATTGTAACTTTTTGTCTTAACTGCACCAACAAACACCAGCTATTAAAGTAAAATTAATTTTATATGTGATATATTGTCATTACTACTTTTTTTTATGTATTAATGGTATTATTAATTTACTGTATTAACTGTATAACTCAGCATAATTTAGTGTATTTACTATTTAACTCAGCATTAATTGGCACATACTTCTCTGGTAATTCTGTTTTATTAGTGGTTTTGATATTATTTTTGTAGATTTTTGCTATGCTGTAAACGTAGGGGAGGACATTAGAATACAAGACAATGACAACTTGCAGAATCCTGTCAGTGACAAGAGTGAGATTCATGGTACAGGAGATCTTAAGACTGGCCCTAACTTTTGTGTGGAGGGACAGTAACTAGTGCTGTACACATCACTCTCTCTGCATAGCTAAATGTACGTGCCAGGCCTTCAGCTCAAGAGTGTTAATTTTATATTAATTGCAGTTAAAATGGTAGTTTAGAGTAGATGGAAGTATGCTAAGTAAAGGAAGCTTGTGTTTAGACTACTAGCTGCACTTTTGTAAGGCTGTAAGTGCTACTGTGATAATCATGAGAAAACCTGTGGCATATAGAAAACCTAGCTATATAGGGACATTTGTGTAAGACTATCAGAAATGATTTCAAAAGAGAGTTGTGTTATTTTTAATTGATTCTCCATGACTTGCACGCAGTTGTGGTAGACAGCTAGGCCCAGGTACCTGCTCTGAAAAGAATACTCAGAGCATCTCCCATCATACTTCTTTAAGCATTCCTTTTTCTTCAGTAGGAGGGTTCCTCTGTAATAAATAGCTCACTGCTTCAAAAAAGTCACAGAAATGCCGTTTATTTACTTGCTGCTTATGGAAGAGAGTACAAAATACCTTTAAAAGGCAAACCTAAAACCATGGCAGACAATTAAAATTAGACTCAAAATTAATATTACTTTATGATGATATTTATTATGATTATGATTATGATTATGATCATTATGATGACAGTTTATTATGACATCTTCCTCCTCTTCCTGGATTTCTCTCTGCTCCACAGCAGCTAACATGCTAATGCTAATCCCTTCTCTGTTCTATAAGAGCCTTTTATCTTTTTGCTCTAATTGATTAGCAAAATTAGGCTAAGCTCAAGAAGTTATTTGCAACCTGTAGCTTGGAGTTTGCTATTTATTAGTCAGATATGATTAAGTGATTCAGATTCCAAAAGCTTGCCTTTACAAACTGTCAGCAAATTTCCTACAGATTTTACTTCTACAAGCTTAAATTAGCTGGGACAAAGTATACAACAGCTATTAATGCTGATTATTTTGTAGTTGTCTGTAGTACTTCTTTTTTGTAACTATTTTAAGTAAGTACAATTTAATACTATTTTCTATACTATTTTCTATACAAAAGAAAATATCTTGAAACCCATTTCTGCTCTACCTTTCCCAAACAGGGAATGTTTCTT